GGTTCATGGCACTTTGCTAAATTGTAACATTACCTCAACACTCAAAGTGAGTGTGCCTTTCCCAGTAAAAAATTTTCTAGTAAGGAGGCAGGAAAATATAGGGGAAAATATATTTGCATTAGTGGATTGGAGGACTTTTTTCCTTAAGGATTATTAAGAAATCTGCTGGCTCTCATTCTTCTGGAATGGTTTATAATTGTGAATGTAAGGGGTAGGAGAACACATGCATATGTATTACACCTGCGGGTGGCTGTGCTTATGGTTACAGCCAGGAGATGACAAAACTCAGAAAAGTTAGGCAATTTGTTGATAATCACATCATTGTCTGAATTGGGGGTTGATATAGACCATCCAGATCTCAAAGTCCCGTCCCCTACACCACACTTTAGTCCTCAGGCTACTCATCTTTGATATAATACATTATATCCAGAGATTGCTAAATTTTTTCCAACTCTAAAAATTATATGACCAAGTCAAATTCATGATTCAAATTGTAAAATGAGTTGAAATGAAATAATACATGTTAAATGAATGAATGAACTGCAGAAATAAGCCTTGAAATGTTTCCCCAATGGTCTGTCATCTTCCAGTTGTCTCTCAAACAACCCCTACATGAAAATGACTTGTCAAGTCCTGCTCATCACACTATCTAGGTAACTCCCAGTCCCCTTGGGAACCTGCCCACCGTCCCTGTATTAGCCTATATTAGGCCAACCACATTCCTCACCTGGCCCATGTGAGAGCCCCAACTGGCCTCCCTGATGGCAGCCTGCCCTCCTCTTATCCCCCAGGCCCACTGTCCATATTGCCCTCTGTTTTAGCCAATTTGAGCTTCTATAATAAAGGTCCATAGGCTTGGTGATATATAAACAATAGAATTTATTTTTTGTAGTTCTAGAGGCTGGAAGTCCACACAGGATGTCAGCATGCTGGGGCTCTGGTGACGGCCCTCCGAATTGCAGACAGCTGACTTTCCATTTTATCCTCACATGGTGGAAAAGAGGGCGAGAGGGCTCTCTGGCTTCTTCTTAAAAGGGCACTAATCCCATCATGAGGGCTCCATTCTCATGACCTGATGATTATTTCCCGAAAGCCCTACCTCTGAATGCCATCACGTTGGGATTAGGGTTTCAGTATTTGAATTTTGGGAGGACACATTCAGTCCATTGCACCCTAAGAGCTTCTGTTTGTAAATGGAGGTCAGATTTTACCTTACTTAAAAACCTCTGACAACCTAAATGCCCAAGGTGATGGGTCTGTAATTTATAATATGATGTATCAATTCGTGTAATTCATTGACATGGAAGATGTTAATGATCTATTGATTCACAGGCTGCAAAATGAAAGGAAAAGAATATAGACTTGAGGAATGGGATTATGAATTTTAGAATTTCTTCTAGCTTTTTGTTTTTAATCTTTAAACGTGTGGCTTTTATAAGAAGCAAATTGTTCCAGAATCAATATGTGACAGGCACTCTGCTTGGCACAGGTGAGACAATCATAAACAAGACAGACATCCCAGAACTCAGAGCCCAGTGGCAGAGACAGGCAATTGAAGAAACCTCAGTATATTGTGGTACTGCAAGCTCATTGATCAGGTCGTTCAGTCATATAGTAAATATTTACTGAATGCAGATTCTTTGCCAAAGTAGTGACAGTAAACTAAGTGAAAGCACTTTTTTTAGCCTCCTCTGTAACCATTCCCAAATACCCTGACCTCTAATCCATCAAATACCCACCAGTCTCATAGCCGCCTAGGTGGTGTTGTTGCGTTTTGTTTTGTTTTGTTTTTCCTGTTAGTCTCTGTCTCAGGCACTCTTCTTCTTCCTCCTTCTCCATTGGGGATACCTTCCCAGTGCTCAGAGACTGACTCAATGTCATTTCTGTAGGTTTTCCTGATCACCACGCAGCTGCCCTTCCTCTCTCCCTACCCCTTCTCACCCCAAATGATTAATTGTTTTTCATTTTTGTTCCCATACAGCCTCTTTAGATCATCCCATAAATTGCATTATAGTTCACATTTTTTATTGTATATCCTCAATAAGAAATTTGAGCACACCCCCAATGTAGGTATGTTTGTCTATAAATTGCTTATATTATGTGCTATGGTGAAGTCTGGGTTTTTAGTATACCCTTAGCTAGATTAGCCAAAAAAGAAGAGAGAAGATTCAAGAAAATAATTTATTACTTTTACCTTTTTTCTTTTTTGCAGCAAGGCCTCTCTCTGTTGCACAGACTAGAGTGCAGTGGGGTCATCACACCTCACTGCAGCTTCAAACTCGTGGGCTCAAGCGATTTTCC